TTGGATTATTGGATGCTTCTAAATCACTCAGTATACTGCAGAAATTAAGAGCATATGAAAATATGCCACATGCTTTCATCTTAGTAAGCATCAATAATTTTATATATAGAGAGGCAGACTGATAACTGAGTGGGAAGGAAATAACTATAATTCTATCAAAAGAGCATTTCTCTAATTGCTTGCAAACTCCATTTTTGATTCCGTATTTTCAATTACACATCCATACTTCATATTCAAAATCTCCTGAAGCATAAAAAGAGAAATATGGCTACATAACAGCATTCTCTATGAGAAAATACATAAGTGACCTTGGAATTTGAGTCAATGAATAATGTTAATATGAAGTTCACAAATGTGCCTTTTCAACCTTGGAAATAATCTGTTGTGTATATGCTAACCAAAAAAAGAACAGTAAAATTATCTTATTACATATATACTACCTGGGAAGGGGTCAGCTGATTTAAATAACTTGTAACCTGATAACTTTTCTGTGTATTACCACAAGATTAGTTCATAGCTCTAGGATGCTTGTTAAGCTAATAAAGCTTGACCATCTAAAAAAAAAAAAAAACAATGGAAACTATTAACTCTCAGATTGATGAGAAAAACTTAACCTTTACTTCTTTCCCTCATCCAAAACAGTTAAATAATTAATGTTTCTCTAAATGCCACTCCAGTGAAAACAGCCTCTTAATTTTTAGGGAAATCATTTCTTGGCCTTTAGGAAGCACTCAGTAAATACTGATAGCCAACTGAGGAAAATTTAAAGAAAACTGTCACTAGAAGTAAAGCTGAATTTTAGGTCAAAAAATGTAGCCTGTGGAAAAAATGATGCATGCTGGTGGGGCAGCCTTAGGCTTTGCCACAGAGCATGAGAGAAAGGGAGAGGTGGGGAAGGGAGAGAGAAACCAGAGACTGGGCTCAATTCTATGGGAAGGCAGAACAGCACATCTATTCATTCAAACCACTGTGGCCTGTCTCTGGCAAAACACAGCAAGTGCTGTAAGGTCTAGGGATAGAGATGCTAGCTTGATGTTTATAAATGGATTCTGTAAAGGGAATCTTTGTTCTATAATTAACAGATTGCCAAATACTACAGAAACTTTAAGATTGTCTTGCTACTCACTCACCTTAAATATCCTTCTTTTGTAACTATCAACTCACTTAAACAAATCACTGCAAAATCTGGAAATAACATGCTACAAACAACAGGTTATTGCAAAAAATTTTAAAAGACTTGAGAAAATATAGTATCTCTGGAGCATGATATCAGATAGAGTAGAGCCTTTATCTAATGATCCTTTCCCAAACAACTGGGAAGTTGGGGTAGAGACATGTGGCTTTAGGCAATCATTTCTCATTTTTAAAAGCAATAATAGGCCGGGCATGGTGGCTCACGCCTGTAATCCTAGCACTCTGGGAGGCCGAGGCGGGAGGATCACTCAAGGTCAGGAGTTCAAGACCAGCCTAAACAAGAGTGAGACCCTGCCTCTACTAAAAATAGAAAGAAATAAGCTGGACAACTAAAATATATAGAAAAAATTAGCCGGGCATGGTGGCTCATGCCTGTAGTCCCAGCTACTCAGGAGGCTGAGGCAGAAGGATTGCTTGAGCCCTGGAGTTTGAGGTTGCTGTGAGCTAGCGTGACGCCAAGGCACTTTAGCCCAGGCAACAGAGCAAGACTCTGTCTCAAAAAAATAAAATAAAATAAAAGCAATAATAATGAATAAACTTATGAGAAATGTTTACTAACAACTAAAGTAGACACTGGCTATGTTCTTAGTACAATACAATTTTTAACATAACTACAAACATGTATATGCTTCAAATATTAACAAATTGCTTCAAAATGAAATTCTTAGGAAGTTTTTGGTAATTTATTCACAGTTCAGGCTTAGAGTCACTGTACGTAACAAGACATGAAGAAGAAATGATCAACTGGCTCAGTAAACTAAACATTCATTTTAAAGAAAACAAAATCAACACAAAGAAAGGATGATTCTGAAATTTCCACTTCACAAGTATAACTTAAAAAAATACCAAAAGTTGTATGTAAGCAAAATGCATTCAACCACAGAACATTCAAAAAGCTAAAAGGATCATTTCTATATTCATTCTGAAAGCTAGTATAGTAAGAAAGGTAATTTGAGAATTTCCTAAGATGTTCTTGTTAACCATCACTTATAGTAAATAATATTTTGATATCAAGTTATTACAGACTTATAAATTAATATGGTATAACTTTATAGTCTTGCTTTAACTATAATTTTTATCTTAACCCTGAATACTGGTTTGAAGCTAACGTTATAGTCTTATTAGTTATCATTGTCACAGACCCAAGATATGTGTAAATTCATAAAGCTAGGAAGATACTGAAATACTAACAATCTTTAAATATAGTGGGGGAAAAAAACTGATTTAAGTGTTTAAACTTCTAAACTTGAGATTCCAACAGTAATCTGAAATGTTTCCAGGGGTAAAACACTCTGCCTGGTAATCTCGTACACAAATTTTACTAAATATGTGAATATCATAAAACTAAAATATCTTTTATCACTCCCTTCAATTTCTTTGGCCTTCACAAATTCAATGTGAGCTATGAATTCTTTTTCAATAATTACTTTTCAATGACATTGTGCTTTTTTAGAAAAATCACTTAGTTTGTAGCATATGATAGTTAACATTAGTCTTTCTCTTTTATTGCTATAGTATACCCTAATTTTTGAAAAAAGAGAAGAGAAAAAACTGACCCCAAAGGACTTCTGAAAAAGCAAACATTTTAGCTAGCAAACATTGCTTCTGTTAAGGAAACATTTTAGCTAGTTCTACTTCTTTGAAGAGTAATAGAATTAAATGTCAGAGGAATATTACCAAGGAGCAAAAAAAAGGTTCCTTTCCTCTCATCCTCAGAACTACCTCAAGACAAGAGACCTGTATTCAAAAAGATGAGACAGTATCATTTCCGAAACAGCCTCCGGAGAAACTGAGAGCGAATACCTGTGTTAGCTCCCTTAACCTCCAGGCCCATCTGCACAGCACCATGTGTCAGTGCCTGCTGGGTTGTAGTAAGTCCTGATGGTTTTCATCTTTGCATATTAATGACTGCTGTTATAGATTTATGGGTCCGTTATAACCTGTGATAATACAATAGCTCACTTTGCAAATACATTTCACTTCTTGTGAACAAAATACGCCCCAAAACTTGGACCGTTATTTAAGTAAATAAATCCATTCACTCACAGCATTTAACAACCCACCTCCACTCCATCTTTCCATGCTCTCACCCTGTCCTTCCACTGAACCTAGTCTTCACTAGTGATGAGTCCCCCTGGGGACAAACGGATACTGCTTTAAAGATGCAATTTTTAATGCCTAGCACAGTGACTTGCACATAATAAGTATCAATAAATACTTGTTGACATAGTTCTAATAAACTAAAAGTAGCTAAAAATTTTTCTCTTACCTTTTATTCCTATGGCATAGGTGATTTTTTTTTTTTTTTAAAGATACAAAAGCTGACTCCAAAGTAACAATCATTTACTGGGCCATGTGTTAGATGCTACACGTGTCCCCCTGCCTAAAAAGGGCTCATGAGGTAAGAAACTCTTAAGTCACATGGGTCAATTTAAATGTTAAATGAACTACAAGAAAGAACTTTTTATACAAAGGACTCCTTCTGTAGAATACCTTTTTTGAAAAATCCAATTTTCTTATCCTATATTATGTTGGTCCTTGCTGGACATGCTCATTTAGTGGCTTGCTTCATATTACAGTATCTTTTTTGCATTACGAATTTATAAAAGCATTTAAAAATCACTACGTCAAATGGGATGGAGAACAAGAAAGGAGAGGGAGAGGAAAGCATGTTTGTTTGGAAAATATCACTTCTTTGTTCTTAATTTTGGCTTTTGATATTCAGTTTAGAACTTCCCCTAGCTTGGAGTGACAGCATGTGTGTGTGCATGTGTTCTTTAAAGAGACACACACAGAAAGTGACAGAGAGAGAGACTATGCAAGCTGATCCTGATTTCACATATTTTAACTAAGAATGCTGAACCAAACTTTAGACTGTAAGAAATGCTATAAACCCACACAAATCATGTTTTGTAAAATGTTAATATACCAAACTTAAGAAATGACACTATACACCTACTTAAACTGGCTAGCTTATGCAAAGTATCTTAGAAACAAAGTAGATAAACATAGCTGTAACAGCTATACATGTAATGTATTAGTGACCCTATTTAAAAAAAAAAATAATCAGGTTTCTAGTCTACATTACGAAAGTCCTTCCAAATTAGCTCTAAATGTACCATTTCTTTCTCTAACCCTAACATACAAGCAGAATTCTATGCTTCTCTTACAGCAGTAATAGCTATTGGGAAATCTTAACCTCACCAAGAAATTCAGACACAAAAAAAGAAAGGAAAACACTGAACTCACTTAAAGAATTGTGCTAAATATCTCCCCTTCGCAATTTAAAAGTGAAAACTTCTGAAAAGAGAGGGACTTTGCCAAAACATAACACATTCTCCTTTAGCTCCTAAGATCTGGCCAAAAAAGCTCTGCAAAGAAATTATTACTCATAATTTTTGGAGTGTCAAACTAATATTTTACTTTAAATATTTTAATCAAAATTGTCAACTTCCATTTCTGACACTTATCAGCTAAATGTACCTTAATATCACTTTATTTATATCCTCTTCATTCCTAAATATATTTCAAGGGTAGAGCACAGAAAATACAGAGAGAAAAAAATACCTGGGAAGTAATACTAAATTTGATGCCTATCAGTGTGAAGCATATATACCTTTTTCTGAGCTTAGCCTATCATACACATTTAGAGTCAAAGATTAGTCAAAGACTTGCAAATCTTCCAGACAATTGCAAAGAACTTCCAAACTGTCACTAAGGGACCAGTTTTATTCAATAAGTCAGTTGAAGGAAAGTTAAAATTAACTGTACGAAATTCTTCCTTGGGACAAAATTAAAGAGAATACTGAATATACCAATATTGATTTAATTTAAACATTTGACAGCAGCTTTGTGTTGTGATTTCAAAGAACAAGATAAAATATGTCATTCAGCAGTCATTTAAAAGATAAAAGACTACAGATATAAGGAAATAAAAACCACTTTTACGAGATGAAAACACAAGGGGTAGGATACCCAAATGTACATATCGCATCTTCAAATTTAAAATCATACTGTCAGTTGTCAAAGCAGCTTGAATTTAAAATTTGTGCTATGAAATTGTGCAAATATGTTCTCTCGAGAGTTGGAGAACACCAATGCACTACTATAGTTTGCTTCCTAAATTACCTTCATCTACAGATAAAAGGCAACAAATCTGAGAAACTAACGCTAACCGAACTTACAGACATAAATTCCACCAAGAAAATTATTCAGTTTTTAAGTTTTACAGTTTGATTTAAAAACAAAACAGAAACAAGCTTCAAAATAAATCACAGCATCTTCTCTTTATATATAACTTAGAAAAACCTTCACTTAACATCCAAGTATGAGCATACATTGCCATTGGCTGTAGATATTCCAATTAAATGCACGACTACTCTTTCATTGTTCTGAATGAATAGAACCATGGTAAATAAATGCTTATTATTTTTAAAACATACTTTCCTCTCAGATTGAAGTGGAGGATCCAGAAACTCAACACCCAGCATTCTTTAAAGAAAATAACAGCTAAAATCTTTGATACAGATTCCAATATAGATTCCATTATTCAAACTCCTCCACAAATTACTGGAAAAATATAAGAGGTAATTTCACAAAAATCACAAATTGAGTGGAATAATTATAACTGATATATAAATAAAGATTTACTTTAAAAAGGCTTCAAGGGGGAATATTTTAAATCAAGGTTTTAAATACAAAAGGTGTCTTGTGTTGCTTAATCATCCGGCGTTTCAGATACTCTTTACTCTACAGTTACAGATTTGGCAAGATTCCGTGGGAAATCAACCTGCAAAAGAAGAGCAAGATTTGAGAGATTGTACAGATTGGGAAGAGGAGGCTTTGCTATAAGCAAATTATTTTTGTTAATAAAAACAGAAAACAATGTGTTCATTAACCATTTTTATTATAGACTATAAAGAATTAATTAGAAAATATAATCACACAATGTTATCTTCAAAAAAACTGAAATTAGTCAGGAAAAAGAATTCTACGGGCACCAGTTCACACAGAAAGAGTTGCTGTGGTTTTCTATAGAGGTAGTAGTCCTCACAGGCAACACTAAAAATATAAGAACAGAATGTTTTGGTGGCCACAATGACTGGGGGACCAGGAATGCTAAAAGTCCTGCAGTGTGTGGGACCATTCCAAATGCCAAAGAACTGTCCTGCCCAAAATGCCAATAGCTACTCTATTAAGAAAACACGTGGAGGTTCCCCAAGGAGAGTCAAAATCTTGAAAGTGACTTCCAAGGTTCCTTTTCAAGTTCTATGGGTAACAAGATATGTGATGTAACATACAAACTGGGTCATGAAAATGTAACAGCTGACAGATATATTTGAAGGATTTCTCAAATGCTAATGTTAAAAAATTAAGGAAAAAAAAAAACTGTAAGAATGTACCCAGGCGAAAAACCACCCCAAGATTTCTGCAGTGGTAGACCACTTACATCATAGCCTCTCAGCACAGCAAGGTGGAAAGCCAGCAACTGCAAGGGGATCACACTGAGAATGCCCTGCAAGCAGTCCACTGAGTGGGGCACCTTGATTGTTCTTTTTGTGTTCTTAATGGTCTCGGTATCCTCCTTATCACAAATCACCACAGGGCGCCCCTGGGAAAGAAAAGTACACACATATGTAAACCACGCACACACAAAATCACTGGTAAGCAATGGTGGGGCTATATAGCATGTGAATGTGCAAATTTTGTACTGCATAATCCACGTGTGGCCTCAGTGACACTAAATTTAAACCCTTAATAATATATTGTAAGTCTAATGTAACTTTACAGTCAAAGAAATGGAAGCTTTGTGGCATTTAGTAATTTGTTTAAACTCACAACATTAAGAAATACCGGGCTTAGTGCTTAAATTCAGGTCTGCCTACCTTCAAAGCTCAAGTTGATTACTACTACAAAGCTCATGGGAGTAATATCTTTTGGGATTTACATATAAAGCCAACTGATCTGAAGAAAACACAATTAAAGCACCAGCACTTGTAATTTTTTTTTTTTTTTACTTTTCACTTACATAATTGGAAAGCACCTGTAATATTAATGTAAAATCTGTTAGGTTTTTCAGAAATACATATTTAAGAATATTAAATTAAAATGGAGCAGCATATGTTCATTGAAAGAGGACAGGATTTGGAGATTAAGACCTCAGTTTTGGTCTTAGTTCTGCCCATTATGAGACCTATGAGCTGGGTCCTGTCAAAACTCTGAGTATTTGATTTCTCACATGTAAACCTCAAAGGCTATATTCCAAAGCAAATGAGTTAACAAGAGTAATCATGTTTTGTAAGTCAAGTATCTGGCACTGGTCTGTCACTTTCATGTCATAAAATTCAAATAGCTTTAGTAAATCCACCCTTAGATCGCCAAGGTGTCCTCACAGCCTCCCCTGGCTTACCTGCCGAGCAACCACCTGCTGAAGAGCATTCTGACATTTGGCATAAGTGTGATCTCTCATGATGATCATGATAACAGGCATCAACTTATCCACCAAAGCCAGAGGGCCGTGTTTCAATTCCCCAGCAAGGATGCCTTCAGAGTGCATGTAAGTAATTTCTTTGATTTTCTAACAGGAAAGAACCAGATTAGTCCTTCGTCTGTTTTTCAAAAATCTATCCTTTGTAATTATTATACAAAACATATAAGTTAAGCCGTTATTTATCCAAAAGTATTAAAAGACCACTGATCTGTAAATATAGCTAACAAGTTAATATTAATAGATCACTATATTTATGATATCAACAAGTAGTAGGAAGTTTAAAAGCTCCACAAGGAGCCGGGTGCAGTGGCTCATGCCTGTAATCCTAGCACTCTGGGAGGCTGAGGTGGGAGGATCACTCAAGGTCGGGAGTTCAAGACCAGCCTGAGCAAGAGTGAGACCCCATCTCTACTAAAAACAGAAAGAAATTGGCTGGACAACTAAAAAAATATATATAAAAAAAAAAAATTAGCTGGGCATGGTGGCGTATGCCTGTAGTCCCAGCTACTCGGGAGGCTGAGGCAGTAGCATTACCTGAGCCCAGGAGTTTGAGGTTTCTGTGAGCTAGGCTGACGCCATGGCACTCTAGCCTGGGCAACAGAGCAAGACTCTGTCTCAAAAAAAAAAAAAAAAAAAGCTCCACAAGGACTTTTTGAAGATTTTAGATTATCATGAACATATTCCTAATTCTTTATAACTCTTCTCCTACTTGTTTTATGTTTGACTTCAATTAAATTTCTTATCTAAAGAACTTAATCCTTATTTTACTCATATTTGGACAACAGATTAACCTGAATTACTTGCTAAACCCAAGTTATCATGTGACAATCTATTCTTCTTGGTTTCTCACTTTTGAATTAAGTTCTCTATTGCATTTTCTCAAAGTAAAACAAACTACAATGCATAAATACAGAGGCACTTTTAAAAGTTCCACCTATTTCATTCATTTAATTTAAAAGTACGACTATGTGCCAGCTCTGTAAGTCCTGAGACTGAAATTAACTATGCATGAGAAAACTTACCAATGCCCCTTCAAGACAAGTAGCATAATGATAGCCCCGTCCCATTATCAGGACTGACTTCTGATGATAAAGTTCTGTTGCCAGTTTCTGAATTTCATCATCCATGCTCAGTACTTCCTTAATCAAATCTGTTAAAAAGTAATATTAGCAAAAGCTATGAAAAAAAGGACAACAAACTGAACAGCTATAATAATATATTGGTAGCAACTAACAAAAAAGTCCAGTGTTTCTGTTCTTCTGTGGTATCAGTGTGGGATTTTTTAACACATTGGAGCAAAATAGAAAGATCTTATTGACTAAATAGCTACAAGCCCCAGCTTCAAGGATAAGAAGAGAACTTTACCGATTACCCACTCTTACACAAATTAAGTGTAATATGTGAATATTTTTGTACCAGGCAGCCGTTTCAATCCAAGCATGATCTCTTTGCGTCTCTCTTGCATGGAGATCCTGTCATCACACATCATAAGTGCAAACATCACAAGGGATACAAACTGGCTGGTATAAGCCTGAAACACCACAAAAAAGCAGGAGAATTAGCTGCAGTTGTATCTTAAGAATTTAGAAATTTTAATTTTAAAAAAGATTAAAATAAACAAAATTTCCATTGGTTTCACAGCATACATTGTCCATCTTTTAAAAACAACATTAGTAACAGTGAACTGAACCAGTACCTAGGGAATCTATCACTATTCTCCTTTTCTGAATCTTTAACAAATGACTTACTTAACCTTTATTTCTCAGATATAAAAGCAAAACACCTTATAATGCATTGGATGCTTATGAAACCCCTAATACTCCTGAGAAAGGAAAAGAAACATGCCAAAGGAAGGTGAGTTGAGAGAATAAATTTGCACGTGCCTAACCAAATTTAGGTTTTGATATAAGTTCAAAGGTAGGGGCTTGAAGAACTCTTCTTGGGATACTTGCACAGGTATTGTTGGATTTTTTTAAAAATTACTCTTTACTTTTGCCTGTTGTCTGTCCCTCACCCTCACTTTTGTTTAAGTTTGGCTAAGAATTTAAAAAGTAAGTTCAATTGTAGAAAAGTAGATAGATACATTAATAAGAATAATCTTCAATCCTATTATTAGGAATTACATTAATAATATGCTATTAATAACATTTGTGAATACTACCTTCGAGTTTTTACTTTTTTCTTTCTTTACATTGGTAAGAAAATTCATTATTAGCAGGTGCATTTTACAACTTGCTTTTATTCCTCATTAACAGTCCAGTACAGGTACTTTCCCAGGACTGAACTCTCTCTCCTTTTAGTGGTACATAAATAACCTTGAGCAGTTTTCATTTGTTTAGGTCTCAGATGCACATGTACCTTCATATCTTTCCCAAGTAGATATTTTCCATTTAAAGAGATTTTCTGTATACTGTTTTATTTAAAGCACTTACTAAATTCTTATTCATCTTAAGAAATCTTATAGTTGATATTGTTAAGCTCTACAGGTAGTCAATCATAACTGCAAATAGAATTTTGTTCCACCCTATTATTTTACTTATTTTTTCTTATTAAATTGGATAGAACTACTACAACAGGGATAGCAAAGAGATTTCATATAGAGCCAACACCAACCAACTGGCAGTCGTAGTGAAATATGTTGAGAAAGATTCCAAGGTAATGTAATACAGAGAAAATCCTAGGAATGTTCCAGAAGGAACATGTGAGGCCCACTAGAAGATCTAAAACTTTCTGTTTTGTAGTTCATTCATTCATTTTTCTCTATTATTAGCTTCCTACTGTTTTATTGGATTTTCTTTTTCTAACTTTTTGAGTTACATTCTTAGCTCATTTTCTGTTTGAAGACAAAGCATTTAGTGCTGTGAATTTACCTGTAATTATCACTTTGGCCACACTCACTAAATTTTTACCCCTATCGTTCATTGTCTTTATTTCTTACTAGAAATAATAGCTCTGATAGCTTTTTAACCCAATAGTTATTCAGAAAAACATTTTTATGTTTCAGGCATCTGAAGCTTTTCTTTACATTTTTATTATTAAATCACTAGGATTACTTTGCTGTGGTCAGTTACAGTGTTTTTGTGTAATTTTAACTTTAGGAAATTTATTCTGTGGCGGGGGGGCAGGTTTACATGCTGAATTTCTATTACTCTTCTCTGGATAAGGGATTACTTCATTAGTGAATAATTCCCTGTCATAATGTAGATAATGGGACTCCCTCTATAATAAAATCAGCCAGCTAATGGGCCTTACCTTCCCACCAATTAAATAAGACTCCCTGTTTCCTCTTGCTGTACTTCCCAACTTCCAGCTGCTCATCTGGTCCTCCACAACTACCTGTCCCTGTATGCCTATTATGTTCCACTGGCAGATTGGAATTTTTCCCCTTAGCACTGAAGTAGATTTAGAATCCCTTGCCTCCAAGTCTAATGAGCACATCTATAATTCTAAATTCCAGTCCCTCCAGTCTAACTCTTCCTACTGTGGTTTACTTTTCAATAAATCAGTTAATCAAAAAATATACTACCAGGGCAGAGAGACACACACAGTATCTTGAACCCCTGGAATACCTAAACTGTTTCCAATCCGAACTGATCAGATAACAAGTATTCCAGTTCCTCCAGCCCATAACTATTAATAAAAATGTTATTCTACAAACTAGTGTTTCTCTGTTTCAACTGAAAACATCTCAACATTGGTTTTTATGTACAAATATTGAATAGAGTAACTTTAATGCATTTATTTTTCCACTGCATTACTATTAGTTTCATTTCCAATTTCAAATTTTCATGTCATCAATACATTCCAGAAAACCAATTATGAGAAAAATAAGCTACTCCCTACATTTAGAATCTACTGAGGTTTGAAAGAATTTACCAGGAAATGTTGATTCTGAACTTTTAAATTTGGGTTTTTCTTTCTATTCAGCCAAAAACAAAATTACATTGGTTTATTTTTTTTTAAATCAACAAAAGTCAGCACTGTGGTGAAATTCTAAACACCTGCAATAACATAAGAAAATTGCTGAACATGCACGTTTATATCCATCAACTCCTACAGAAATATCAAATTGTCTATGGTCTGATGTTATGAGAGTCCATAATATCCCTCTAATCCTGACAATCTTTCAGGCAAAGTTGGGCAAGATCACAGAATTCTGCTCGCTCCATCACTGGGCCCAGGGATCAGGATCTATGATCAACTTCTTTGATTATCCATTAACATAAAAACTTATATCTACCATTCAGAAACAGTCTATGACTAAATATCTCAAAACTTATTTTACATTAATTCCAAGCCCAGAATATCTAAGACAGTTAAAGAAAACAAAATTACTTTAGAATCCAAGAAAAATGAAAGTAACACTAAATTACCATACCCAGTATATTTTTGTGTCATTTTTAAAAGAGATTAAAGTATATACTATAAAAAATGCTTATTTTTCTCATACAAGGTATAATCATTGGGGGAAATTAGGTGAAGAGAGCATGGGACTTCTCTGTGCTATCTTTGAATCTATAGTTATTTCAAAATATAAAGATTTTTGAAAAAGAACTTGCAAAAAGAAAGAACTACTGATACAAGTAACAACATGAATGAATCTCAAAAACTTCTTGCTAAATGAAAGAAGCCAGACACAAAAAACATTACAATTCCATTTGTAAGAAATTTCTGGAAAATGACATAATACAGTAAGAGAAAACAGCGGTTGCTGAGCGTGAGGCTAGAGGGTAGGAGTGAGAATTGACTATAAAGAGACACAAAGGAATTTTCCAGATGATCTAAGTTTCCTAAAACTGGAAACTGTATACTTAAAATTGATGAATGTTATAGCATGAAAATTAGACCTCAAAAAAACTGTAGGAAAAAAGTTAATGGTAGAATCTAGCTGGTGGGTATATATGGGTGTTAATGTAAAATTTTTAAAACTCTGCTGTATGTTTGAAAATCATCATAATAAAATGTTAAAAACAGTATTTACCTTGGCATTTCATAGTTCCAGAAAGATTTTATAAAAAGGTAAGTCGATAGCATCCACTCAGTCAAATAATCCCATATCCCACATACACCACACTGAAGCCCTTATTTCATGAATGTTTTATGAATGAAGGGCCCTGGGGTTTCAATTCCCCAGTCCAGGTTGTCTGTCTACACATTGCTTCAAAAATCCGTAAGCTGCTGCTGAGAACAACTGGTTATTTATTCAGCCATGGGATGGAAACCCAAGCACAAATATCTTATGTGTTTTAATTAACCATATGGGGAAAATTCAAGTTTCGGCTATCTGTAAATTACAGTATTAGCAACATCAAAACACCCAAGAAATAAAAACCTCACTCAAGAGTTTTTATATAAGAATCACAAATTTTCCACAAAAAATTCTCCATGAGATTCTTCACAAGAAAAAATTCAAATGTGGTTATGTACACAGTAACATCATCTTCGATAGCCTTTAATTAAATTCAAATCCACCAATACCCAAACATCTTATTACATAATCAGCAGGCAATAAAGCAGAAAAATATATTTTGAGAAATGAAAATTTGAAATCATAAAAAAGAATAGACTGTGGAGGGATAACATCTTTTGCATTTATACAACTTTCACGATTCCTATTTTTGCTATGATTACTAAATTTATGCACATCCCAATTTCAAAGAGCAAAGTGTCTGACTAGGCTTTTTTTTTTTTTTTTTTTTTTTAAAGAGCTGGGGGGTCTCACTATTTTGCCCAGGCTGGATTCGAATTCATGGGCTCAAGTGATCCTCCTGCCTCAGCCTCCCGAATAGCTAGGATTACAGGCATGAGCCACTGTGACCAGCTTTACTATGCCTTAAAAAAAAAAATGAAAGTACTTTTAAACCTCCACAGGGTAGTATCTAAAGAGAAACAGATATTATCACACAATATTCATTTTTTAAAATATTTTCTAAATTGCCAAATTTTGTACAAAAGGTGTACTTCTCCTTATAAACTTTCAAAATGCAGTAAGTATATTTTGACATATTTATTAGAAACCATAAATATGTAAATAAAAATTTCATAAATTATTAGACTTAAACTGGATGTTTCTAATTTTTAACTTTTCTAATTCCTAACTACACTTAATTTAAAAAAGAGGATGTTGTATATTTACTATGCATACCACTGCATCTGGCTGGAGGATAATAAATGATGAATGGAGATAGCCAACAGAGACCTTTTCAAAGTGGACTTACGTTACATACATCTGTCCCTTTTAAAAATCTAAGGATTGGGAGTGGGGAGGATGACGAGTCTCTTATCTATTATTGACCCTTAAGTCTTACAATAATTACAATGATTAGTAAAATATATGAGTACCGTAACGGCTAACAAATGAAAAATACAATACACACTAGTCTAAAAACTAGTCTGTTTCACCAACACTATGATTAAGTAATCACCAGAGAAATAAGTCAAGAATTTACCTTTGTACTGGCCACGCCAATCTCAGGACCAGCGTTAATGTGAACTCCACAATCTGTCTCCCTTGATATAGAACTGCCGACTGTGTTTGTGATCCCCACAGTTAAAGCTCCTCTCTCCTTACAGTATCGAAGACCCATCAGGGTATCTGCTGTCTCACCTGTGTAAAAAGTATGACAAAAGTAACACACAGAGCAGTAGCATATGCTGTTTCTTAGATGCAAAAACAAACTGACCACACTTGCAACAATATCACTTGTTTTAAATAAAATATAAAACATGCACTTAAAAAATTTATAAGGCTTTTAGTAATAAGCTTTTTAGGGTCTCTGTCTTTGAAAATTCAGCTGCTTAAGCATAAAAGGTGTTCATTATGTAATTAAAATAAATCTGTATCAGTCATCTATAATACCAGTGTATCTTACACTATCAGTTTTTGCCAAGATATGCTAGAATTATTAGAAAGAATGACTTTCTTTCCTTTCAAGTCTTTAAAATTAACATACCTGATTGACTAAGGAAAAAGCAAACATCATCTCGAAAGACTGGCGTGTTTCTATCCAGGAAGTCACTGGCCAGCTCCACCATCACAGGCAACTCAGTCAGCTCCTCAAGAACTTGACGTGTCTGCAGAGAAAAGAGGACTTGGTCACACAACTTTCCTTCAAATACTCTTTCACTGGACTTCGTTGGACTCAATGCATAGTTTTCACTTTTTCTAATTATAAAAATGATACACGTACAATGTCGGAAAATATGAAAAATACAGATTAAAGTATAAAAAAATAAAGTAAAAATAATCAAAATCCTACTACCCAAGAGACAGGCACTGCTAACATTTTAATACAAGTCTCTTTAGAAAACTATCAGTGCATACACTCTTGTAAGCAAACACCCATATAAAACATTTTGAGAAGTGGAAAAAGCACTGTTCTGAGTCAGCTTGTGTGTCATTTCTAACTTTCCAATTTCTAATCTCTGAAATGAAAATTTGTAATACCCGTGTCACTGAGGGATTTCGAATGAGAAAACAGATGTACAAATATTCAGTGAAAAATCAACCCCTTAAAAATGCAATGTATTCATAAATAGACCCATTTCCCAAAAAAAGTCAATAATACACTTTAGAAATCCTGTCTAAGAAAGCTCATTATTTTCAAACTTTGTAGTATTGGAGGGGGAGGGGAAAAAGAAGGGTTTAGTATGCTCCTGCTCAAAGGGGGCCTTAATATCCATTTTACTAAATTTCCATTCTGATTAAATTTCTTTCACTCTACATATCAGAAAATTAAAAACAACAGAAAAATAAACTTTTAGGCAGAGAAGATTTTAGGCCTGACCAATGTGTACATTTAGTGTTGCTTTGATATTAACTCTGGAATCACCTATCCGACAGCATTTAACCGGCGTCTTCAGGCAAGTGGCCCTGCACATCCCTTGTCCATCTCTGTATTCCTCCTTCCTGGCAACAAAGACCTTAAAGGTGCTCTTACTTCACAGCCCTTTAACTTTCGCTTGCCCACAAATTTAAACAGAATTGTTTTGTTCTATTTGGGTCCCCAAAGGATATTAAATAACTTTGGTTTGGCAAAGTCATTTTAACAATATTATAACATCCTGTACAGAAAGTCTTTGAAGATAAAATGCTCCTGTTTTTAATTATCCTTTTCCATTGATGTATTTATTTACTAATTATACACAAATTAAGTTACTGACATTAAAAATGCTAAATGTTTCCTTCAAACAAATATAAATCAAACTTTTTACTGTGGTTTACAATATAAATACTACATTGGAATTACATTCTTCAAAATAAAAAGAGAAAGATACAAATCTGGCAACTTGCCAGGTATTTAAAAATAATATATCCCAAAAAAGTAATCTCAGGATTTATCTGTGCAATACTTCGTTCTTTCAGTGAAAGCAACTCTTTATACATACACAGAATGACATATTTTCATCATAAGAGAAGAGTAAATCCTATAAATTTCAATGCATACTGCTATAAAACCTAGAGTCCAAATTTTGAAAAGCATGCTAACTATTCTATACTTTGTTACAGAACAGTTACAGTGTAGTCAGTTATTTTTACAGAGGATATATGAAAAGAAAGTCTCATCCCACAAAACAGAAAAAAAAAAATAAAACATAGAACAGAATTAATGGAATTAATGGCTATTTTGTATAATAAACCACAGAGGGGATTTCTAATGTTTGTTAACTATAGTCTTGGCATCCACACAAACTACAATAAAAAAAAACCTTACATCATCACATATTTCAGAATTAGAGAATTCTAACAGCATATAATTTCTATCTCAAAATTCAGGCTTAGTGTTAGATGAAGCATTCAATCAAATATATTTCTGAAAAGAGGGTTAATTTAGTAATATAAACCACCACTAAATTAGCCCATCCCTTCTTTAATTTACACTAATGTCTTTAATTCATTCTTATTTCTATGCTTAAAATAATGACTTTTTTAGACTTCTCCCCTTCAACACTGCATAGACTTTCCTTTTAGGACCATGTATTTTCTTAGGGAGAAGAGAGAGTGAGGGTAGGAGGGAAGAGAAGTGAGGCGAGGGGTGGGGGCGGTGGGGAGAGGATGGTAGGTAATGGCTTCAGAGAAGAACAAAGCTTGTTGAGATGCAAAGGCTAATGACCAGATAGTTTCACTCACTAGTCAAGTGACTGGCTCCTAATAAATATGTATGCTGTAGCAAATAAAAAATTATGTCATAAACTTTGGGAATCAACCTCAAAAGCAGAAACTGAATGCAAAGGTCTTCTGTACTTTACTTACAAGTTTACATCAACAGCACGTAAAGAGTCTCTTTATAAGGAAACTACATGTGGATCTGATTTATTGGACTAAAAGACTAGTATTTCTATGCTTCTGCACTGACAACATCTTTAATACAGAATTTCAGCTTTCAAAATAACAATTTAAAGAACAAAGTATGACAAAAAGCAGACTTTCTTTCTTTGCAGAAATGTGCCCACAAAGTAAAATCCTGTTGATTTTAACACATTACCAGCCATCTGTCTGACAATGCTAAGCAAACCCCACTGACTGCTCTTTGAATAAGAAGGCATGCTCCCTAGGCTACAAGTCTAGGATGGTACAAAATCTCTACCCCTCTTGGCCTTCATGAAGTCACTTGCAGGTGGTCTACCTGTACACCTAGGGACCCTTCTATAGTAGATCTCCCCTTAATAAATAATTCCAAGCAGCTCTTAAAATTTCTCCCCCTACTTTCTTGATTTTTCTCATTGCAAAGATGAAAAAACACATTTAAACAAAGGTTAGCTTTATTATACATGGTATGTTAATAGAGGTGCTATTGGTCTGCAGATATTCCCTAATGTCCAACATAACAATTAAAATTTTAGGAAGCCACTTACTGCTACACCAGCATGGTAACTTGTTCCACAAGCAATAAGAATCAAACGCCGACACCTCTGGATTTCCTTAATGTGATCCTTCAAACCACCCAAATTCACTGAAATAAAAGTTTGTGTATATAATTATTTAGGAAAGAACCATATGAAATAGGCAATCATTTTTTATGAGTGTCCATTGCCAATATGAGAAATAACAATGCCCTTTTAAAGAATTCATATTGCTCTTAGGAAGCAGAGTTCTCTACAGTTTTGAAAAGTAAATTAAATAGGCCACAACTTAATTGGCCCCATGATCTTGTAACTAACCTAACTCACCCTCCTACATGCTCACACAATTACAGTATTTATCTCATTCCACTTTGTTTGGTCATTTTTACAATCTTCTCTTTAGATTAAAAGTTATTTTAAAGGCAAAACTATAGAAACACAGAAAACAGATCAGTAGATGCGAAAGGTCAGAGCTGGAGGAGGGGCTGACAACAAAAGGCACAAGGGAATTTCTGGAGTGATGGAACTGTTCTACATCTTGACACAGTACAGGTCAGGATTATGACTATGGTGTGGAAGTTTGTCAAAACTCAGAATTATACACTAAGAACAGTGAATTTAATATCTCAATAAACCTGCCTGGAAAAAAATTTATCTGTTATGGTCATTTCCCCTCCAGTGCTCTGTCTGCAATATAAACCCACTCTACTCCCAGCCTTTGCCATCACAGAAAATGCCATCACCATTCACCAAACTGCTCCAATCAAAACATCAGCGTCATCCTTGAATGGCTCCTATCCCTTCACGTCCACCTTTAAAACAGAGCTCTGATGCTGTCACCCAGACCAACATCGCTCCCTGGATGAGAGCAATGCTCTCCCGACAATGCTCTCTTCTGCTCTCCACCCCTAGTAACCATTCGTCTACTTTCTGTCTCTATGAATCCAACTATTCTAGATACCTCATATAAGTGGAATCACACACTAAAAGGACTTTTAAAAGATAGCTGGGCCCCACTGATGGCTGGCAGCCATAGTTATTCTCATAGGCTATAAAGGACAATGAACTTTCAGGCTGTTAATGGCACCTGCTACAAGAGACTTTGAAATAATAAAATAATTCATATGTAATTACCAGTATAGTCATCAAAGTTGACTCTTCCTCTCATTGTGTTCACAACAGACTCTGGCTGCTCAAAAATTTCCTTCTGCATAAATGAACTAAAGTTGCCTACAGTAACAGAAACCATATAATTAAAACAAAATTTAACAAACCAAAGAACGAGAACAGAAATTGGTAGACAACTAAAGGTCTATCTCCTTTAACATAATCCTGGTAAATGACATGAAACAAAAGGTAATTCAACACAGAACAATATTCATATATGACTGCCTAAAGGACTGGATGAATATATTTTACTCCATGTGAAGAAAAATGAGCAAGGAGGAAAATCATTTATTAACTTCTGCCTAAAATGTGCAGTTATAGCAAAATAAGGGAATGAGACAAGCATAAGTTTTGGAGTCACACCTAGATTTAAATCATGCTTCTAACCTTCACTATCTAAGATGGGGAAATTCCTTAATCTGTAAAATAAGAATAGTAGTTACTTCATGGTGTGGATTAATATAGCAAGGGATTTTGACATATGGTAGTCATGCCATAAATGTTAGCTTTTATTCCTACCACAACCCAGTAAGAACAGAGAATAAAAATCAAAATCCTAGTAACCATAATAGTTAACAGAAGCAAACACTATGTGTGCTACATGTGTTAGTGCTCAAAACAACCTTAATGAGGTAGGTTCTATTATCCCCATTTTATATAAGAAAACTGAAGCACAGAGAGAATAAGAGAGGAAGAAGGAACAGAACACAAACTATATTTATGCTTATAAAGTATCTTTAAAATATCAGGTGTTATTTAAATCATCCATCTATTTTATTTTTAAATTTTTTAAAAAAATTTATTTATTTTTGAGACAGGGTCTCATTCTGTCCCCCAGGCTGGAGTGTAGTGGCATGATCCTAGCTCACTGCACCTCCAACTCCTGGGATCAAGCGATCCTCCTGCCTCAGCCCCCAAGAAGCTGGGACTACAGGCGTGCACCACAACACCTGGCCAATTTTTTTTTTCTGTTTTTTTGTAGAGATGGGTCTCAACTGTGTTGCCCAGGCAGGTCTTGAATTCCTGGCCTCAAGTGATGTCCCTCACCCTAAGCCTTCCAAAGTGTTGGGATTACAGGCGTGAGCCACTGTGCCCGGCCTCAATCTCTTTCTTATAATGTTAGAAACAACTACCATGAATAAATGTGAAGAACTATTGTAGAACCAGCAGATAATTTTTCTAAAGAATCATCCCTTTTCCTTGGGTTGTCCCTTCACTAATCATGTGGAAGATTCCACTCATCATTATTATTAGATTCATAAGCTAGGACAATAGAATGACTCCTTTCCATTAAGGACACCAAAACTATAACATGACAAAAACGTTCACCCTTCATGATCTGCTGGAGTTCCATCTGGAGTGTTTGCACAGCTCGTCCAGGGTGATCTCCTGCAGTTCGTTTAATTCGATGGATAGAAAGACGGCCATCCACCACTGCTGCAACATCATCATCTTCTAGAAAGATAACGCGATTGGTGTGTTCTATGACGGCACTAAAATGTTCAAGGAGATGTTACAATCAATAAGGAAGGATCATTATTACAAATGAAACTATCGTTAGGACACAACAACCAACTTAAATACAAACTCTACCATCCTATGAAATCTCTGATAACCTTCTGGCTATCAAGGCCATCCCCTACGGGGGAGTGAGAGGGAAGTGGTCATCACAGACAAAAAACAAATGGATTTCTGCACAGCAACCTAAACCTAATTAGACTAGATCAGAAAGCATGGTTATTTTCTCCTCATTCTATCCATCACCAAATCCTGCAATTTTAACACCCAAATATTTCTCAAAGCTTCCCTCTATGTCCACTACCACAAACTAGTTCAAGCTACCATAAGATCCTTGGCTGGACTACTACAGTAACCTCCTAATTTGTCCACCCATGTTCTCTCTTATCTCCCTCCATCCATTCTTCACTGCTGTCAAAACTGATACTGAAGACAACTCTAATCAAGATTTCTACTTCACTCAACAAACCATTTGGAAGGCTTCCCTTTGGCTCTTAGGAAAACAACAAAATGCCTTAGTGTGACGCCGACACCTCCTTCTCTAGCCTCATCTCCCACCAAACTTCCTCTCAACTCTATTCCAGCCACACTCACACCCATCCTGAGTTCTCAAGGCTGAGCCATCTGCAGAGAATGAATATTCCTCACTCTACCTCTTCACTTAATTAACTCATAATCTCTTCTCAACTTTCAATTAAAGTATCATTCCCTTAAAGAAATTTACCCACAGGAGGGTGAATCACTTTGTCATAAGTATTCTGTAGCTCGTCATAGCTGGAATTCTACACTTATTTAAAATTTGGCTCTTCCATTAAGGAAGAGCTCCTTAAGGACAAGTAATGTTTTTATTTTCACTTGCCATTATCTCCTGAGGCTACCATATGGCTTTGCTCAGGGTGTTTCAATACAAATGCAGGAATGAAAGAAAAAAGGCTGATGTATTTCTGCAATTCCCCGGTTTATTTAAGCCGTTAACTGTGAACTCTGTAACAAATCTACTTAATGACACCAATGACACATCTTGGCATTGACCTTACACACCTGTGAAAATTAAAAAGCAGTGAAGCCTGTTTTCCCACTGAACTAATACATTCCCTGAAGTCCTTAATGGCATTATTTTCTCATTTTTATTATTTCCTCTTATTTTCAGGCACAGTCAATAACTCAAATACTTGTTGACAATTTGAGTGATTTTATTTTATTCTCGTTACTATTACTGTTCCATTTTATAAATCCATCTAAACATCCCACTGGATTTTCTCGCAAAATGTCTTAGTCTAATACTATTCCTTTATAAAAGTGATTATACTACAAATCAATTCTAAATGTAAAATATAAGTGTCCACATTAGACTAAAACTACAATAGTTTGGCAACTATCCTATATATTTGGTAGCACACTAAGCCATTCTACTCCCCAATCTAACATCTTTCCTCTCTACAAAACCTAGGTAAGCCTCCTGAAAGACGAAGGAAAAAAACATAAGAGCTTTAAAGTAAATACACTAGAACAAGTCTCAAGGAATATATGTGTTCTTGGTAAACTGACTTAAGTGCTCTGAAGCAAGAGAAAAGTATTCTTATAGGCCCATCTCCAAAAAGGTTACCTATATTTCCGTAATTAAGAAAGTTCTTATACAGCATGGCTAGATTTATACAAAATGACTTCTCAATTTCCTATAGCATGAGAAGTTTTACTAAAATTCTCTTTGAATCAACTAAGGAAGCTCACCTTGCATCAGAGGCAAAGTAATACTCCACTGCTTTTTCTTCAACAGGGAAAAGGCAAGTTGTGCTGTCCACACGAGAGAGATTGCAGCTTCCTTTCTTATCTTTGCCTGGAGCATACAGTTAACATGAATTGGCAAACATGTAGAAAATCATGGCCAACATAGAAATATATATAATTTTCTACAATGTCAACAAAAAATCATACCAACACAAAATAATTTTAGCAATTTTAAAATGCCAGGTAGATCACCTTATTTCCATGCAATAAGCCAATAAAAACAGACAAAAAGTACAGAGTAAATAGCAACTATCAAAGAATGCATGGCAAAGAGCAGTGCTACATTATAAATTTTTTAATATTTCCGTTCCAGGTAAAAGACAAATAATTCATTAATATCGTTAACTGGCTTTTAAAATCAAAAGTATGTTTAGGGCCGGGCGCGGTGGCTCACGCCTGTAATCCTAGCACTCTGGGAGGCCGAGGCGGGCGGATTGTTTGAGCTCAGTCAGGAGTTCGAGACCAGCCTGAGTAAGAGCGAGACCCCGTCTCTACTAAAAATTAGAAAGAAATTAATTGGACAACTAAAAATATATAGAAAAAATTAGCTGGGCGTGGTGGCGCCCTGTAGTCCCAGCTACTCAGGAGGCTAAGGCAGAAGGATCGCTTGAGCCCAGGAGTTTGAGGTTGCTGTGAAGTAGGCTGACGCCACGGCACTCTAGCCTGGGCAAAAGAGTGAGACTCTGTCTCAAAAAAAAAAAAGTATGTTTAATCTTTTTTTTTCATAGCCCAAGTCATAAAAGCCTATAAATTAACCTTAATTTAACTTTATATACAGTTAAGTCTATATAGCTATACTTATCACAAAAATTATATGAAAAATATCAAAATTGTGTAAAGAAAAATAAAATGAAGACTAGTGGCAGATTAACTTTTTTTTTTGAGACAGGGTCTCACTTTGTCACCCAAGCTGGAGTGTAGTGGCGCGATCATAGCTCACTGCAGCCCTGAACCACTGGGCCCAAGCGATCCTCCTGCCTCAGCCTCCCAAGTAGCTGGGACTACAGCCATGCACCACCATACCCAGTTAATTTTTCTATATTTTGTAGAGACAAGGTTTCACTATGTTGCCTAGGTTGATCTTGAACTTGTGGCCTCAAGTAATCCTTCCGCCTAGGCCTCCCAAAGTGCTGGGATTACAAGCATGAGCTATCACACTTGGATAATTTTTATTATCTCATAACAAAACTTCTCTAGATTTTAACAGCAAGTCACCATAACTAATCAAGCTTTAGTCTACACTAATTCTAACTTTGAAAAAACAAAGATACACATCTCTCTCTAACCATGGCATATTATGTGTGGCACCTACTGTTGGAGACAGGAAATACATAAACCAAAAACGCTCATTTCTTAAAACTGGATTTTCTTACATTTCTTTTAAGTTAGGATAAACTATGGTCCTTTCGCAATGGCAAAATCCTTTTTAATTCTAGCACTTCAGAATTCTGGCATCTCTACTTAATTTGTCAAGTCAATGATGAATACCAATTTTTTTCTTTTTTGCTCATTCACAACTAAAATCAAAACTGGAATAATGAAATTTGACAAATTAGCCAAATATAGGAAAAAATCTATTAGTTGAAGACTATATAAACATCCTAGAGACCAAAAAAAGCACCTTTCATTGTCTTTTGACTATTTGGTAAAGAAAATATAAAAAAAATAAAAAATATATTTAAAAAAAGGCACCTTTCCCCAAGGCCAGGACATAGTAGACTTTATAATCTAAGATACAATAGCCAGAGAATACCACAAATATACTTGTAAAAACTTATATTGTATTTATCCTCTAAAATCCACATATAAAGACTTGTCATAATTATTCTTAGAAATGTATGTCCAAATATGCTAATTACCCTGATTTGATCATTACATATTATATAAATGTATTGAAATATCACACAGTATCCCATAAATATGTACAATTATGTGTTGATTAAAAATAATAAAAGCAAAAAAAATAAATGTACATCCAAAGTTCTCCATCATTTGTGATTATTTGGTGAGTTTTAAATAATGAAAACAAAAGAGTTCTTTTCCATTCAAACTCAACAGGAGAGAGGATATCAAACTTTAAAAAATAAGTATAAGACGACATCCTAGAAACGGTAACAGTATAGAAAAATAACATATCAGTGTTTGCCAGGGGCTGGGAACAATACAAGGGTTAATTACAGGGGACAGCTTGAAGGAACTTTTTGAGTGATGCAATTGTTCTGTATCTTAACTGTAGTCATGTTTAAACAATTGTTTGCATTTGACAAAACTCATAAAACTACATCAGAAATAGTGCATTTTACTGAATGCACACAGAGTGAATTAACGGGTAAAAGGAGAACTCAGCACCTATATGTTTTTAAATAAATACAACTAGTTTTGGTTATAAAATGTCTTAAGGTTGAGTTTCACTATGGTCTTTCTCCAAATATTGATAATTTCATTCTTCAAGTAACAAAGTATATTTTAAAAATGTAAAAGAATTTGAGGTATCACTGCCTGTTTAAATGAAAAGAACATTCTTACTTGACATCTATACGGTTCTTAAAATCAACACATTGTGTTCCCGTATTATCTCATCTGATTTAAGTGAAATACAATTTCTATAATCCCTGTCCTACAGATAGAAAGATGGCTTTATTTGGTCAAAGGTCACACTTGGAAAAAACAGCAAAAGCCTGAAAGCCAGAGTTCTCTCCTTTACACAGCCTCCTTCGATGAGAGGCTATTCTTTTCAAACTCAACTTCACTGAGCCACAAAATTATTTACCTACTAGGGCTAGATAAAAAAGGATTTACAGGGAGAAGATAAAAAGAAATTCTAACAACATCTCAGGATTGAAGGTTATTTGAGGAAATAACTTTCCGCTCTAGATAAAATTGTGAAAGCAGCCACCATCTAAAAATGAATAGGTTTAGAGTACTTTGCTAAATGTTTTTCAAGAAACCAAGAATTACACAATATGAGTTTCAATTTCCTGAACATACCACTCCTTGTCTTTTACATGGAAAGCATTTAGTAATAAACAAATGAAAGGAGCACACTGTTGTTTTTTTCTATGTAATTACATTAATAAAATGACCCAGAGTTTGTATAGCTGAAAATCCTTTAATAACAAAAATACACCTCAAACATAAACAATGTAAAAAAAACAATGATTCCAAATTCATATAAAGCCAATCACAATATCAAACATAAATCTAAAAGTAAAATGTCATGCATAAAAGACCATTTAAACATATTTCAGTTAAAAGTTAGGCTGAATTACTCAAATAACTATCATTTAGTTCAAACTATAATAACCTAGCACACAATGCTCTTCTCCTACTCTAAGCATATATCTAGAACAAAGAAAAAAATACTTTACAATTTCAATTATATCCTCAAATCTAGAGATTTTAATGAAACAAATTATTAAAAGCGGTTTTCTAATGCCAAAAGCAGACAGACAAAATAAATATGTTCTGCAAATTAGAAAAATGTCAAAATATGTTTCCCCATAAAATAAGCATTTTCTTAGAGGCCCAGCACATTCATCCACTCCAAGAACAAAGAATTAGTAAAGAATGAACAAAAGAGGATAAGATCCTTCCCATCCATGCAGAGTGCATTTCCCACCTCTTTCTCCCTGTGATCCCCACCATGTGAATTTTGATCCAATCTGAGTCCTAGCTAAGGATATATAACAGAAAAAAATTCTAATCATCAGAAAACTCACAGAAGCAAATTTTTTTCATGTCTAGATAGAACTATATATATGTGGCTCTGATCAAAGGGGTATTTATTCCAACTTAAGGAAAACAATTCTTTATATCTACTGCAATCAATTTACACATTTTCCCCATGGCATGATGTCGGTGTAGTTTTACCTGTTCTGTAGAGTATTGGAATGTGATCAGTAGAAAGTTTATGTTCACTCCGAACACCAATCAACAGAGGGCTACCTCGCCTGTAAATGCAAGATTACTCAGAATTAAACCATTTTCATAAATAATGCATGAACAATATAAAATTTAAATTAAATGAGCCAACGCTCTTCAAATTATGTTTAAATTTTTCCATCCAAGCTCAACTTCAGATATAACAAAAGAAGTACATAAACCAATTTTTTTTTT